TGATAATGAAATTAATGGGAAGATATAAACTACTATGGGACCGAATATCTACTAAACTGGGCTGCCTATACCCTTTCACATAAACATACAAAACTACAGCAAAGTTAGTAATAAGTTCATATGAAATTTAATCTTGCTCATCTGTATAAAGCAATACTTTATTTTTGCTTTTTGTTTTGCAGCCCTTTTACAACATTAGTTTTTTTTTGGGGGGGGGCTCTTTGGGTCACACCTGACAATGCACAGGGCTTACTCCTGGCTCTGCACCCAGGAATTATTCCTGGCAGTGCTTGGGGGACTGTATGGGATGCCTGGGAGCAAACCTGGGTAGGCCATGTGCAAGGCAAATGCCCTACCCACTGTGCTCCAGCCCACTGTCATCCCACTATTTTGTTAATTGTAGAGGCCACAGTCAGAGTTGGTGACACAGAGTGGACAATGCATACAGTCAGGGGACCCAACTAAAGGCCTCGCACATGAAAGATGTGTGTTCTATTACTTGAGCTACATGTCAAGCACAAGTGTATGGATAAAAAAAAAATCTCAACTAGGAACCAGAGAGTACAGAGGGGAGGCTCTTGCCTTGAATGCAGCAGACCTGGAATTGATCCTTGGCACTGTATGTGGTGTATGTGGTAGTGCTCCCCTCACCCCTGCCAAGAGTGAACCCAGAGTATAGGGCCAGAAGTAAGTCCAAAATACTGTCAGGTATGACCCAAAAACAAAAAAACTTTTAAATGTGAACTGGACCACGGGTATAGCTCAGCAGTAGAGCACTTGCTTTGCACGTGGGTTCCATCCCGGACACTGCACAAATAAATAAAATTAAGTTGAATTTATTGCCAGAAAACTGTACTTACAGCTTAATTAAAAAGAGGAAAATTTGGCAACACTGGGCTCAAAGATCCTGGGGATTAGCAACATTTGGAGGGAGCTGGGTAGCAGCTGCCCTCTTCTGATAGAACATGCAATTTTTAGTTCCCATTTTCCACCCCCATTCATTTTAGTTACCTGCCTGGCCTTTATAGCCATCAGTTTGAGGCCTGCCTTTATTTTACAGAGTATTTTATTATCAGTCTCTTGAAAGGCCTTTAAAAAGCTTGCCATAACTATCTACATCATAGTAGTAATAGACTAAATCAAGTGATGGAGGATCCCTAGCATTAAAGCTATGTCTTAAAAATGTTAATAAAGTATTACTAGCAGAGTATTATTAAAATGTATTACAAGGCATGTAGAGTTCATGCCCAATTCAATCAGCCTAATCAGTGGCTGAATAAATAGTAGTACTCCTACATTTAAAAAAAAATGTATTACAAGGCATTATTATTGCCAAAGAAAATATTTAATGTCCTAATTTTGGTCTGTGTTTAATTCCTCAAAGAATCAAGATACTGTCATTAGCCCTTTCCAAGAATAAAGAAATTCACCTTTGTATTTCAAATTATAGTACTTAAAAAGCACCAAAGACCTTCCTACATTAGTATAACAAAAGTAAAGAAGAAAAACAGGAAGTTGAAAAGTTCTCTCTGATCAGTCAAAAGACCACACAGTTCACAGAACACATGAAGCCCTCTTCACTCAGAGCCTACTGGATCTTATTTTAGACATAATTTTAATAAGCTCCGTGATCTGGTTTCCCAGCCCACAACATAAGAGATGCAGCCAACTGGAAAAGGGCTGGGGGTGGTGCTGCTAGAGGCAGACATTCTAAGCATCAAAATCAAAGCTGAAGACTTATAAAGTCAGCAAGAAAACCTCAATACACAGAACTCTGTATAGTACAGCAAGTAAGGTGCTTGCCTTCCACCCTGTGAACAAAGTTCAGTCTCTGGCTCAGTGGTGATCCCTAAGCACAGAGCCAGGAAAAGCCCTGAGTACCACTAGGTGTGGCCCCAAAACAAGACCAAAAGGCTGAGACCATTGGAATAGACTATCTCAGAGCGTCCCAATTTTCTTACAGACCTATAGTCTTCATAATGACTCTCTGTTTAGTACACCCTATTAAATCTTATACAATTCAGGAGATTTAAGTGTCCAAAATGTCTACCATCTTTTTCTGAGGAAAAAAAAAATTGAGTGAAGAAATTCTCAAAGAGGGGCTGGAGTGATAGTATAGTGGGTAGGGCCCTAGCCTGTACACTGTGGACTCTGGTTTGAGCTCTGAAGGCAGAGCCAGGACTAAGCCACCTGGAGAGCCCTCTCCCACCCAAAATTGGTGTTCTACAAAGTCTAAAAAAACCCATCATTTTGTTTTCACAATCTTACTGAAGAGTGTACCAAAAATAAATAATAAGCCATATTCTATAGAGAGCTCTAGACTATAAAGGGAGAAAGTTTTCAAAGTTCAAGTCATCATTAGCTAAACTTGGCATTTTTAATTAAAGTTCTTATGAAGATCTGTTTTAGACAAAAATCTATAGATAGGTTGTATCTCAAAACTGTATTACCCAAGGCAAGTATATTTAAAAAGTAAAAATATAAGGACTGAAGAAATAATATAACAGGTAGGGTGCTTGCCTTGCATGCAGCTGACCCAGGTTGGATCCCTGGCATCCCATATGGTTCCCCAAGTACGGCCAGAAATGATCTGAGTGCACAGCCAGGAGTAACCCCGGAGCATTGCCAGGTGTGATCCAAATATAAGTAAATATTTTAAATATATATAAGAAGTCAGAGAGGTAGTACAATACGAAAGGTACTTGTTGCAGCCAACCTGGGTAAATCCCCAGCACTACCTATGATACCCTGAGCATCGAACAAGGTTGATCCTTGAGCACAGAGCCTGGACTAAGGTTTAAGCACTGTCAGGTATGAGCCAAAACAAAAAAACAAACAAAAAGATTAAAATATATGCTTTGTGAGAACAACAGTACAGCAGTAGTGTATATGCTTTGCATACAGCTGACTTAGGTTCTATCCCTGGAGCATCCCTAGGAGTGACCCCTGAATGCAGAGCCAGGTAAGCTCTAGCACTGCTGGGAATGTCCCCCAAACAAACAAAAAACAGTAAAATAAAATATATGCTTTGAAATCTGTTTCAAATAACTCTAACATAAATACCAATCTACAAAGACGTTAAAAGTTAAGTCATCACGCAATACCCACATTCATCTTCAGATTTTTAAACAAGGGCACAACAACCTTCGACAGGTTACCATCTACAACTGTTAACTTCCCATTGTCTCTGCAAGTTACTCCAAAAAGTCTTAAAATTTATTACATACTTGTACAACTACTTTTATGACTATTTTTTAGTGTGTTAATTCTCCTTAAATAGGTCAAAGCTCTTTGCTTAAAATTCAAGCTTCTGGGGGCTGGAGAGATAGCATAGCGGGTAGGGCGTTTGCCTTGCACACGGCCGACCTGGGTTCGGTTCCCAGCATCCCATATGGTCCCCTGAGCACTGCCAGGAGTAACTTCTGAGTATAGAGCCAGGAGTAACCCCTGTGCATCGACAGGTGTGACCCAAAAAGCAAAAAAAAAAAAAAAAAATTAAGCTTCTTTTAACAAACTACCTCATTTCTAGTACAAGACTGACTCTAAAGTCTGCCTTTACTCAAGTGCTAGAAATCAAAAAAGTTCAAAGTTGCCAAGGATCTAATCTAATTCACAATAACCACTGGGATTCTAAAGGTCTTTGGGGGAGGGAGTGGGAAAAAGGGGGGAGGGGAGGGAAAGAGAGAGAAAGAGAGAGTGATGGTTAACTGCTAAAATGAGTTGTTTAAATCATAGAACTATCACATTTTCCCTGAGTTTAGGGAACAGTGAAAACCGTTTCGCTTCCTGGTTTATATCCATTCCATCGGTCAGGATAAACCCAAAAACCCAGGATCTACTTCTTACAAAGTAACTAGAGATTTAACAAAGCCTTTGCAATCAGCCAAGTGAAAACATAAGAGCGGGGGTGTGTGTGTGTATTAGATACTTCTCCGCGGGGTGTGTGTGTGTGTGTAGGTTAGATACTTCTCCACTTCTAAGGGGAAAGAAAAAAAAAAAAACCTGACGGGAGACACTATTAAATCGCCGGGTACATAACTAAACGAATAATCCTTCATAATAAAGGGCTACTAAATCGTAAATTGAAAAAAGTTAGCAAAAAAATCCCCCTCTGAATTAAGTAACTGTGAACACCCCGAAGCGTTAAAATCCATTTTGTGAAGCGCCTGTAACAAGCAAACTTTGTGCAATTTCTTCACTGGCTTTCAAGTGTTCAAGTTTCCTTCTCGAGCCCTTGCCAACTTAACAGCTTTCCTCGTAGATCCATTCCTGCAAACCCCGAGTGTTCGTGTTTCTGACTACACTTGGCAACCTCGGGCAATCAAAATGCTTCTCCCTCCACTTCCCTCCCCTCTCGAGGCAGGGCTGCCCCCCCCCTCGCCCTCCTTCCCAACTTCCTACTCAAAAACAGATTCTGGCCGAGCACAGGGGACCCAACTGTGCAACGGGCCCCAGGGAAGGGTGAACCCAGCCCTCCTCGAGGGAGGGGATCAGACAATAAGGCTCCTGGGTCCGCCGGAGCCGGGGCCCCAAGCCCAGGCGGTCCCGGGGAGGCAGCCAGGCAGGTGGGGGTGGGGGAGCAGGCACGGGCGAAGAGCCCTTTCGACCCCGGTCGATCGGGCCGCCCAACGCCTTATTCCCAGGGCCCCCATTCCCTCTCCACCTCCGCCACCCCCCACCCGGTCTGCCTGGACAATGGCCTCAAGCGCAGCGGCCCTGGGCCGGGGAGCGGCCCTGGGGCTCCGGACCACGCGGGGCCTGGAAAGCAGCAGCGCGGGCGAGCGCTCCTCCCGCCCGAGAGCGGGCCGCGCGCCGGGGCCTCCACAGGCGCCATCACTGGGAGTGGGGTGCGAGGGCCGCGGCCGGGGCGAGAGCCGGCAGCCGAGTCCGGGGAGGCCGCGAGCCAGGGCGGCGGGGCCGGCGGGAAGTGCAGGCCGCAGCCTCCTCGCCGGCCAGGCCCTGTGGCCCGCGCCCGCTCCCCGGCCCAGGCCAGCGCTTACCTTATGGATTCTCTTCAGAGCCATCGTGGGAGGCGGGTGGCGGCAGCCCCCGGGGCGGGGACGGGGGTAGGGGAGGGACGGGGAAGGGGCGAGGGGGCGCGAGGCCGCCTCGCGGCGATCGCGGATCGGCCGGAGAAGATGGGAGAGTTCGGGAGCGTGGCTCCGACGGGACCGATGGAGGGCCGGGGCCCGCTCGGCTCCTGAGCTTGCCGCAGCGGTCACCGCATCACCCGGCGGCGGCCCCTTTATGCGCTGCCGCCCGAGCCGCCGCCGCCACCGCCGCCGCCGCCGCGCCGCCGCCGCCGCTGCCTCTTCTTAAGCTCAGCGCCGCCTCCTCAGCCGCCAGGAATCCCTCCGCCGGGTAGCGAGAGCCCAGGCCTAGGGCTCGGCCGGCGCCTGTGGGTCGGACAGCCGGAGGGACTGCCGGCTGCAGGTGGACGGAGGGACGCGCGGGCGGGCAAGCGGGCGGCGCCGCCGGGGTGGGGCCGCCGGAGCGCGGGGTGGGCCCAGGCCGAGGGGCAGGTCAGGAGGCGCGGGGATTGGCGGGCCTGGGGAGGAAGGGCCGGGTCGCGCCGGCGGCGGAGGGATACGGGCCGCCCCTAAGAGTATCTGAAGCACCGGCGCAGCCGCCGCCGCCGCCGCCGCCGCCGCCGCCACCGCCGAGAGGATGACGCCGCGAAGCTCTGGAAGGCCGATCTCGCGAGAGTCGTGGCGCGGGGGTTCAGGATCCTTGCGCGCCTCGACTTTTGCGCCCCTGATGCACCGCGCCGATCCTGGGAGGTCAATAAAAGTTTCAAGGCAGAGGTCGTTCGGATCTTTTGTTTGTCCCTAGAGCCTGTGCTGCCCCGGATGAGGCACTTAGGCCCATTGGCGATGTTTCTGGAGGAGAAAGGGACTAGTCCAAGGTCACACAGCAACGTCGTGGCGTGGCAAAGCTGACTCTTCCCTTAATGCGTGGGTCTCCCTTTATGGAAGCCGCGCGGCGCTGAGCTGGCACCTGCGGAGGTATCTTAGAGCGTGCCGCGGAAAACCCTCAGATGATCTTTCCAAACTAGTAACGCACTTGGATAACAACTTCAGTATCCCAGCACTAGCTTATCAGTTTGTAGCACAGATGTCCAGGCCTTTACTTGGTGCGTTGTTACAAACTGTCAATTACAGAGGGCGGGACTTGTGCATATGCGCAAAGTATAATGCAGTAAACGATTTTTGTGTGTAGGACTGGGAAAAGGCACCAGTGGTAGAGCACTTGCCTACCATGTTATAGGTCTCCCCAGCCTACTTCAGTGCTTCTTGTTTGGCGTGGCGGCTCCCAGACCACAGCAGGCTGTGCTCAGCATGGAGTGGTCCCACCATTAAAATCTCCCCCCGCTGGGTTGTTATGTGACCCCTATTTTAAAAGTATGCAAATGAGCTAGAGAAGTAGTGCAGGATTAAGGCATTTAAATGCCTTGCAAGCTGTGGACCCAGGTTCAGTCCTGGCACTACGTGGTCCTCCCAAGCACTTTTAGGAGTGACTCCTGAGCACTGCAGAGTTCGTGAGCAAACCCTTCCCCGCCAAGAAAAAAAAATTAAAACCAGCAACGGGAAAGCCTACCTCGTGGTTCACGTGACTCGGGAAAATCCCATTCTGAGATGGGTTTGTTAAGAAGTGGAAACTAAAAGTGAGTTCACAGAACAACTGCTCTAAGAGGAGCCCTCCCAGAACCAGTAAGATAAGACCAGGCCTGGACTTGAAAGTGCTTATTATCTGGCTGTAGACACTTTCATGGAATAATAGTAAGCAATATTTTCATCGGCAACGATACCTAAATTATAAGGTCCACTCCTACGTTTTCAGATTCTAAATATGTGTTCCTATCTGAAAGGGGATTTAAAAAGCATTGATTCAAGCTTCTGAATTTAGAGAGAACTAGTACCCCTAAACTTTGTGCCCTAAAGGAAAAATCTGCTAAATGTCTCACAGTAGGTTAGTGCTGAACTCATACTGCTGCTCATCTACTGAATAGAGAAAGGGGGCCAGAGCAATAGTACAGTGGGTAAGGTGATTGCCTTGCACGTGTTTGACCAGGGTTCAATCTCTGCAACACTAAAATGGTCCTTTGAGCCTGCCAGGAGTGATCCCTGAGTACTTAAGTCTTGAGTACTGCCAGGTGTAGTCCGAAAAAACAAGAACAGCTAGGGCCAAATGTGATCCCAGTGAGTCAACACTAGCCCCTGGAGCCAGAGAGATAATACAGGGGATATGGCATATAGTCCCCTAAGTATCACTGGGAGTAGTCCAAGAGCACAAAGCCAGGACTCAGGCCCAACAACTGCCAGGAGTGACCCCCAAACCAAATAAAATAAATTCAATTTGTTTATTATGTATAGGCTATTTCTATTTCCTTTAGTTCTTTTTGTTTGTTTTGTTTTGGAGGGCCACACAGGACTTACTCCTGGCTCTATAGTCAGGTATCACTCAGTAGATCATGTGGGGGTTCTAGAATCAAAACCTAGTCAGACTTGTGCAAGGTTGGTGTGCAATTTACTGTACTATCTCTAGTCTCCCCCTTTTTTTTTTTTTTTTTTGCTTTTTGGGCCACACCCGGCGATGCTCAGGGGTTACTCCTGGCTCAGGCACTCAGGAATCACTCCTGGCAGTGCTCGGGAGACCATATGGGATGCTGGGAATCGAACCTGTGTTGACCATGTTGGCTGCGTGCAAGGCAAACGCCCTACCCGCTGTGCTATTGCTCCAGCCCCCTCCCCCTTATTTCTTTTTTAATCTACTGTGACCATTTGTGTTTTTTAAGAATTTTTTTTGTTTAAGTTGTCTACTTAGAGTAAGGCTACTTATAATATCTTATTTTTCTTTTTTATAAGAAATGTTCATTTTTAATTTAGTCACTGTGAAATTACAAGGTTATTCATGGTTGGGTTTCAGGCATATAGTGTTTCAATACCAATCCCTTCACCAGTGTCCACTTCTCTCCACCCTGCCCACCCCTCCCCATTTGCCTTCTACCCACCAGTCTGCTTCTACAAAAGAGGCTCTTTAAAAAATACATACATATATGTGTTATATAAGTTTTTACACTGTGGTTCACAGTACTGTTGCTGATAAGGTTTCTTACATAACACTTCAAGACCTTTCAGCAGCACTTCCTCCTTCTGGTTGAATGCTTCCCTCCACCATTGATGTTTCCCCTTCTCTGTCCTATCCCCCAACCTCCTCAAGTGGCATGTTTCCTACTGAAGGCCACTCTTTGTCTTCATTGTCATGTTTCTTTATATCCTACATTTGAGAGAGATCGTCTGGGATCAGTATTTCTCCCTCTAAGTTCACTCAGCCTGATACCCTCCAAGTCCCTCCAAGTAGCAGTAAATTGTATGATTATATCTTATGGTTGAGTAATAGTCGATTGTATATATGTACCATAGCTTCCTTATCCAGTCATCTATTCTTTGACACTTGGGTTGTTTCCATATTTGGGCTATTGTGGATAGTGCTGCAAGGAGCATAGGGGTGCAAATGTCTTTTCTTCATTTTGTTTTAGGGCTCTTAGGTATATTCTAAGAAGTGGAGTTTCTGAGTCAAATGGAAGCTCAATTTCTAGATATTTGCAATGTCCATATGGTTTTTCAAAAGGTTGGACCAGTTAACATTCCCCCCAGCAGTGAACAAGAGTCCCTTTCTCTCCGCATCCACACCAGCACTGGTTGTTCTTGTTCTTTTTGATGTGTGCCAGTCTCTGGTGTGAGATGATATCTCATTGTTGTTTTGATTCATATCTCCCTGATGATTAGGGATGCAGAACATTTTTTCATGTGCCTTTTGGCCATTTGTATTTCTTCTTTGAGGAAGTTCTTGTTTCTTCCCCCCAATTTTGATGGATTTTAATATTTTTTCTTGTAAAGTTCTACTTGTAAAGTTCTACCAGTTCCTATATGACTTTTATATTAACCCTATATTAGATGAGTATTGGGTAAATAATTTCTCCCATTCCACGGGCTGAATTTGTATCCTGGTCATAGTTTCCTTTGAGGTGCAGAAGCTTCTATCTTCTTTTTTCTTATTACTATTTCTCGCTTCTATAAATGTCCCCTTTTGTGTCCCAGATTATTTTTGTTTTCTCAATTTTATTGATCCATCTCAAGAGCCAACTATTGACTTTTGTTGTTGTTGTTTTTTGTTTGTTTGTTTGTTTGTTTTTGCTTTTTGGGTCACACCATGTGATGCACAGGGGTTATTCCTGGCTCATGCACTCAGGAATCACTCATGGCGGTGCTCAGGGGACCACATGGGATGCTGGGAATCGAACCTGGGTTGGCCGTGTGCAAGGCAAATGCCCTGCCCGCTGTGCTGTTGCTCCAGCCCCCAACTATTGACTTTTGACTTTGTATTTCTTCAATTTTGTTGGCCCATTTCTATTTTACTGATTTATGCTCTTACTGGTTTTTTGGGTTTTTTTTTTGGTTGGGGGGGGATGGATCAAACCTGCCAGTGCTCAGGGCTTACTCCTGGCAGGCTAGGGAAAACATATGTGATGCTGGGGGGGATTGAACCTGCATACAAGGCAAGCACCTTACCCATTGTACTATTGCTTCAGACTCTCAAACTATTTATTGTTATTTATTTTTGGAAGAATTTGGGTCACAACCAGCAGTGCTCAGGACCTACTTCCAGCTCTGTATTTGGGGGTTACACCCACCAGTGCACAAGGAACCGTGTGGTGCCAGGGATGAAACCTAGGGTTCAAGCATGCAAAACATGTGCTCCAGCCCTTTGAGTCATCTCCCCAGACAATTATTTATTTTTTATTTCCTCCTTTTATTTATTTTTAATTTAATTGGTTCCTTTCCTTTTTGTGGTGGAGGGGGCAGTGACCAGACCTTACTAAGGCCAGTAAGGCAAGTGTTCTACTGCTAAACCACATCCCCAGACTCCTTTAATTTCTTGCCTAGCTCCTTTAAGAATTTAAACCATAGTAAAGTAAAGTAAAGGCCCTCCCGTTGATCGTATTTTCCTTTTTTCTCAATAGAGGCACTTTTTTTAGGGGGGAGGAGAAATACTCCTGGCACTACGCTGAGGACCATACAGTGCTGGAGATAAAAACTGGGGCTAGTATGAGCAAAGCATATGCTTTAGCCCTTTGAGCTAGCTCCCTGGCCCTAATATAAGCATTTTATAATCAAGTATTAAAAGCACATGTTTTTGCTGTATCCCATCATATAAAAAAATTATTTTCTCAATATAGTTTCTTTCTGGGGGTATGGTGCCGCCAGCAAGTCAATCTGTACCTGTGAGGCGACTGCATCAGCAGCCTGATGGTGCCTTCAGACTTCCAGATACCCCAAAATTGCTGCTGTGCCTTTGGCCAGACCCCAAAAACTTGGGGCAAAGTTTACCAAGAAAGTAAACAGCCAAAAGTTAGGTATGTGGGAGACACGCCCACAAACCACCTCCGGCTCAGCTATATAATTGGAGGCATGGCCTCTCTAGTTCCTGATTGAATTGCTTAATGGCCATTATCCCAGAGACTCAAGAACAAATCTTGA